AACCTGGTGCTTGTCATGCCCCAGGAATACAGAAACTTTTTTCACTTTCAAGGTATTTTTAGTTATTTTCTTAATACAAACATACAATAAATATTAAAAATACAATAAATTGAAGTAATAAATAATGTAAGTCTTACTATGAATCAGTATAAGAATAAAGATTATATATTTGTAATGGATAGCAAGACTTTTCAGCAATAATACAGCTGTGGGTTCAAAAAAAGTCAAGTTCAGTGCTCTACTGTTTCACTTTATGGAAATAAATGAGCAGATTAACATTTATTTTAGGACAGCCTAACTTATCTGAAGCAGCACTGATTAATAGTTCCAAGCCTTTTTTGTGATGGTATTTTTATTAAAGTTTTTAAAGACAATGCTTTGTTCAACCATGAGTTGTATTTTGCTGTATGTTTCCAGTATGATGTTTTCCATCCCAACTCTTGAAAGTTAATGCTGTATTATTTCTATAGTAGTATATTCTGGCAGTATTGTTTACAGTATTCATTTCGGGAAATGAGTGCACCTAACCTAAAAGTGTGAAAAAGATAAGAAATTAATAGAGGCCATATAAATAAAAATAATCAATCTTTTGGTTGGTGTACTTTTGCGAACACTGCATTGAGATGGTCCATTGAAACCATTTTGTAGCATCAAACTGAAACTACTCTGAAGTGTTGAATATTCAAACTAGATTTGCACAGACTGATTTTTTTTTTTTTTAAACTTTCATAATTTTTCATAATTCAGTGCTGGCCACCATAATATAAATTAATATGTGATCGTGTGACCTGCTCTTCAGATGTCTGAGAAGCAGCCTGTAATGTAAAGTTTTGCTTTAATTCTCTTCATTAATAATTTCACTTTATATGTGATTAATACATGTTGTTTTTCAAAATGAAGTGTGCAAATTTAGTTTTGATTATTTCTATAAGCACAAAGGGGACCATCTGGTAGGCTGGTGATCTGGTAGTTTTTGTCCAGAAGCTTGTGTTTTGTCAACCTGCAAAATGTTAAGGATTCCAAGATGCAGAATTTGTGATGAAAGTTCATAAGCCAGAATTTCATTCTACCTTGTTATTCTGTGTGTTAACATCTCATTCTCTTTCTGGGTTGGATTAATCTCCCATTTTCAATCTGTGTGTTCCAGGTATTTCTGCATACATAGCCACCAGGCTTTGGGAGTACGTTGACATAGTTCAGAGCTGTTTATAGTCACAAATACTTGCCAGAAGAATTTCTAGAGGTGTCTCTAGTTAGGCTGTCTAAATTCACTGTACAGCAGATGGCACTGGAAGGGCATGTGACGCCGTAATTAGTACAAAATACTAGCGAAGCTGTTGCAGTGCTGAGGGTTATGAAGAAGTTGTATAGCTCATTTTAATGGATTCCAGGAAGGGGTGTATGCTGGGGTCTTCTAGTTGTAGACAGTGGAAAATTCTACACTTGCAAGTGTATGAGTGTATCATATGTGGAAGGCTGTTTATACAGCGCTTTTAAACACATTAATATGCAATGCAGAATTACTGATATTCTTTAAGTATGTGCAAAGAAAGAAGAGTATCTGGATCAGTTGGAGTATTTGACTTCAGGGTATATTTGCTTTCTCCTGTCTTGGATAAAATATGTGTAAGAGATGTCAGAGTGGTTCTCACATGGAAGACTTGTTCAGAGGCTTGCCCTCATCCGTAGGTGTGCTGAATTTATTTCGGAGAGCTTTGACCTGGACTGTCATTCACTAGATTTTTAGCATCTTTTCCTAGATGAGTGAGCTGGACTTCTGGATATACGCATGTTTATGTGGTTATATTTGAACTTCAAACCATTATTATTTCTATATATGAAATGTCACAATGATAGAAGTCATGAGCCCTGCATTTGGACAGTCATGCATTTTGCTTGATAACGATATTGGCTACTATGCTAGGCTGACAGATAAAAACCACTTTTTTGCTCAAGCAAGCTCAGTAGTCCCTTTCAAAGTAAAAAGTTTTGACTTCTCTGTATGCTGCCATAGAGATTTATCTGTTGAGGTTATTTTTAGATGCTGGATTTTTATTTGTAAAAAAACCCACATCTGATACAGAATGACTAGTATGTGATAAAAACCTGTTCTTTCAAGTGACTTCTGTAGTCTTTTAGTTATGGAGAAACTGAAGAAATGTTTTTCCTTCAGCCAAATTTTAGGTAACTAATTCTTTTGAAACACACCAATAAAAAAACTTGGTGAACCAGACAGTTTGGGGCTCTATACATCTTCTCTCACCAGTCAGCAATGTGATAATGTTCTTTTATTTTCTCCCTAGCTTACAAGGCAGATTTTACTTTGTTTCACACTTGGTTTTTTAGGGTTAGGAATTGCAAACAGTATGATGTACTTCCCACCAGGATGGGGGAATGTATCTGGTAAAGCGGAAATAGTATCAGCTTGTGGATGTCAGTCAGAAGTAGTTGGAGAGCGTTGTGGATTTCACAAGTGGGGCTAATGTGCGGGTTCCCAGGCTTCTCGTACTCCACACACAAAGGCCCAGTTAAATTTATCAAACGAACAAACACTCTGACTTTGTCAGTTTAGGAGCAGTGTAGAATCCTGAAGTTATATTTTTTCACTCATTTTGTAGGTTCATTTAGTTACATGTGAGGAAAAGAGTACTGTGAATTGGTAAGATGGCAAAACCCAAATGGTTTAGGAATAGAAGGTCAACAGGCATTTCAAGTCTATTTTTAATTGACATGTAACTCTCCCTTTATCTGTATCTGTAGCTCTTAATTACTGTTCTTTGTCAGTTATTCTGATACGCCAGATTTCAGGCATATAAAACCCACTAAATGTATTCTACTCATGTTTGGTTTTCAGTACTTCCATATTTCCCAATTATTCCAAACTTATGGAGCTCATATTAAACATCAGTATTTTAAACTGTGAAATTTTATGGTTCTGCATGTATGTGTCATAAGAAAAGGAAAATAAAAGTAATGTCTTAACCTTTGAAAATACATATGCATATCTCAGTATCCTCTTCAAATTGTGTAAGTGCAGTACGTTTTTTTCAGGTGTCAGGACTCCTGGTACTACAGGAGTCATGTTAAAAATGGGAAATAAACAATGAACTTCTAATAAAATACTGGTCCTGGTTTTTAAGGTTTTAATATTTGTTTATAGCAAGAGTTGGTTCTTAGTCATTTATTTGTTTGTTTAGGAAATAAGTTTTTGGGGCATGTTTGTTCTTTGCTGATGGCAAGTAAATCAGTTTACAGGCAGAAGAGAAACTTTGTAGCTTCCCCTCATTGAGAGAAAGAAAGGGAAGGTGCTGTTTAGTTTGGTAATTAAGAAAAGGAAATTGGAAGAGCTGAAGATACTCTAAAGATGGACTTGGGAAATGTCGGAGGTTATGGCAAAGACAGAACAGCTCTTCAAGGTAGGGTGATGCAGATAGTGTGGGGAATTTGAAGGTAGGACTAGGGTACAAATCCAAGTAAATCAAGTTTTAGTGCTTCTGCTGTTTATGAGAACAGTGTTCAACCCCCCAGCAGCAGGGCTTTACTTAAAATTTTCCAAGGTATTTTGAAGTTCAGAATCCTTAGCTGCCTTGCATTGTCTTTTAGTTTGCTTTGGATATGATCCTTTAACCTTTGTGTACTTGAGGACCACAAAAGTTGGGCTGGACAAGGGTAATAGTGGACTGCTGTTAGATTATAGTAATCATTCTGCTTACATGCTTTTATGCAATTTTTGAATGGTTATTTAAGAAAATCATATTGTTTAGTTGACAAAACTTATTTCAGTTCATTGCACTATTTTTCTCAGTTGCTTGTATTGTGATACCATGGGAGAAAAGTGGGAAGTGCGTACATAAGGGCTGTTTTACTTTCCCCTCAGTCCCCCAAGCTTGGAAGATTTCTTGAAAGATTCTCAGACTCCTCCAGCTTGTCATGCTTAGCCTGGAGCCAGGCTTGCTGCTGCAGTTTGTGCTGCTAACATCACATGTGTTTGAAGGTACGTGGAGTAATGGCTACTACTAATGGTAGTACCTACTTCTTCGGCAGCAGCGACTTCCCTCTCTTCTCTTTCCCTTCTTGTTCTTCCCCTCTCTGCAGAGCTGCTTGCTTTGGAAGGTCTAACTAACATTAAAAAAACCCAACAAAACAAAAAACCGCACAACAAAACCCAAACAAATCTCAAACAAAAAACCCAAGCTGAAAAGTCACATTTATGGAGTGGGTGGGTACATGACTCTGGAGGACGTCAGGTGGGAGCTATTGACTGAGACTTGAGCAGATATGTCCGCTTAGTCTTGGCAGAAGTACTGGAGGAAGAAAAGCTCTAATAGTACTAGGCAAGGAAAGCCTGTGAGTTGGCCTCCACTATGCCTAAAACAGAGTTTGGAAGTCAAATTTTCTTTCACTTAAGTTCAGGAGGGGACTTCTATGACTTGCTCTAAACAGATGTTACTTTGCTGTTAATGTGTCTCTACTTTTTCACCAGAGTTAGTTTTCCTATAATTGTATAACTATTTGAATATTGCTCAACTTTCCTATGTAAAGAAAGTATGACCTTGTAAGATCATGTTTTTAGGACTAATCACAGTTTAACCTGTATGTAGGAATCCTGCTGGATAGAGTATCTTCTAAAGCTTTATCTTCTATAGTTATTTCTGTGGGGATTTTTTTAGGCGCCTTCCGAAAGAGAGGGGTGTTTCCGTGCTTGAAAATATTATACACAAGCGTGAAATATATGCGCCTATGATTGTGATGTAATGTGTATATTTAAAAAATAGCATACTGAAAGCAGAAAAAAGTTGTGGAAATCTCCAAGGCACATGTAGCAGATTCATTTTTTGAGCCTGATTGGTTTCCAAGTTGGCTCTCTCTATTTAGTTTTATTGGATGCCCAGTACTCAAGTACTGCATTTTCTGTTTTGTTTGGAGAGGCGGGGAAACCCTTATGGATAATTTTAAAAAAATTTCTTTTGTGAAGCTAATTGTTTTTTATTTGTTTCCAGGAAATGGCTCTTGAAGTTAAATGAGGCTGGATAAAACACATAAATGAAGCAGAAGCTGCTCTGCATGTGTTAGGGCTATATCACCACAAGCACTGCTGATCAGCCAGACTTGGTAACTTGTCATAATGAAGAAAATTAGTCTCAAAACAATTCGCAAGTCCTTTAACTTAAATAAAAGTAAAGATGAAAGCGACTTTGTAGTGGTTCAGCAGCCATCGTTAAGTGAATTTGGAAAAGATGACTCCTTGTTTGGCAGCTGCTATGGTAAAGATTTGGCTAGCTGTGAAGTCAATAGTGAAGATGAAAAAGGAGGCAAAAATAGATCAAAAAGTGAAAGCTTAATGGGTACGTTAAAAAGGAGGCTTTCAGCAAAACAAAAACAGAAAGGCAAAGGCAGCACACCATCTGTAAGCTCTGCGGATGATGACACCTTTTCTTCCTCATCTGCTCCAATAACCTTCAAAGATGTGCGAGCTCAAAGACCTCTGAGATCCACTTCCCTCCGTAATCACCATTACAGTCCAACTCCTTGGCCCCTTCGACCTACGAATTCAGAAGAGACTTGCATCAAAATGGAAGTGAAAGTCAAGGCCTTGGTCCATTCCTCTAATCCAAGCCCAGCACTGAATGGTGTTCGAAAGGACTTCCATGACTTGCAGTCAGACAACGTGTTCCAGGAACAAAACAATGCATTAAAAAATACAGAATCTCAGAATGGGGACTTGCATCTTCATATTGATGAACATGTGCCTGTAGTTATTGGATTAATGCCTCAGGACTACATTCAGTATACTGTGCCTTTAGATGAGGGAATGTATCCTTTGGAAGGATCACGTAGTTACTGTCTGGATAGTTCCTCACCCATGGAAGTTTCAACTGTTTCTTCTCAAGTGGGGGGAAATGCTTTCCATGAAGAAGAGAGCCAGGTGGATCAGGATGTAGTCGTTGCACCAGATATCTTTGTGGACCAGACGGTGAATGGTTTGTTGATTGGTACCACAGGAGTCATGTTGCAAAGCCCAAGAGTTAATCACAGCGATGTCCCTCCACTCTCACCTTTGCTACCTCCAATGCAGAATAATCAAATCCAAAGGAACTTCAATGGATTGAGTGGCACAGATGCCCACGTGGCTGAAAGTATGCGCTGCCATTTGAATTTTGATCCTAACACTGCCCCTGGAGTTGGAAGAGTTTATGATTCTGTACAGAACAGTGGTCCTATGGTTGTGACAAGTCTCACAGAAGAACTGAAAAAACTTGCAAAACAAGGATGGTACTGGGGCCCCATTACACGTTGGGAGGCAGAGGGAAAATTAGCTAATGTGCCTGATGGCTCGTTTCTCGTTCGAGATAGTTCTGATGATCGTTATCTTTTAAGTTTGAGTTTTCGTTCCCATGGAAAAACTCTTCACACTAGAATCGAACACTCAAATGGTAGGTTTAGCTTTTATGAACAACCAGATGTGGAGGGACATACATCTATAGTTGACTTAATTGAACATTCAATCAGGGACTCTGAAAATGGAGCTTTCTGCTATTCAAGATCCCGACTGCCTGGATCTGCAACTTACCCAGTGAGACTGACAAATCCAGTATCTCGGTTTATGCAGGTGCGTTCTTTACAATACCTGTGTCGTTTTGTAATACGTCAGTACACCAGAATAGACCTGATTCAGAAACTGCCTTTGCCAAACAAAATGAAGGATTATTTACAGGAAAAGCACTACTGAAAGCTTATGGGAATCTTGCATCTTGCACTTTGGGAACGACAACAACAAAAAGAGATTGAATTACAGTTTACAGACTTTGATTATTATCAAAATCTTTTGCTGCCATAAAAATATTTCATTTTTGTGTGTAAAAGAAAAGTAATGCATTTGGATTTATGTTTGTTTTGGGGTTTTTGTGTATTTTGGGGGGCTTTTTTTTTTTTTTGGAAGAATGATCTCAAGTTTATTTTTAGAAGTGTGAAATAGCTATCTTTCATCAATGTGCAGATTAATCACAATGTGAATGATCAAATTCTCCTTAATTTCCCCCAAGTCCTTTGCTGCTATCCACTGTGATTTTTATGCATTGAAAGCACATTTCATGTGTATTCAACCATAAGTAAAAGTCAAATGAAACTTGTTGAATGGAATTTTTTTTTTCTTCTTTAAAATAGCCTGAAAAAAATGATCATGATTAAAAAACCATATTCGTATTCTAAATTACAGGATTTAAGTCTATGTTAAAAATTATTTCCTAGTATCCTAACTATAAATTTCTATAGAGATATGCCCTAACATAGAACTTATTGACAGAGCTGTGTGGTAAGAACATGGTTATGCAGCATATCTTTGGAAAAAAGCCCCACCTTTCTCCTAAGCCTTGTATTGTCTGTACACTCTTTCGTGTTTGAGAAGGTTGGTTCAGCCTTCTTCTTGTCTCAGTATTTTGTCCTTCTAAAAATGGCCTTTAAAAAAAAAAGTCGTCTATGAAAGTCAATGTGTAGTACCTGTAAGGAAATTGCGGTATTTGGGGTCTTGTCAAATATTACCTTTTACAGTCATGCCATCAGTTAAATAAATGAACACCTACCAGGTCCCCTCTTTCTGTCCTTTTCCCTCCTACCTCCTCTTGGGGGGGTGGGGTGTATTTCCTGGGTTTGTGGGAAGACTCTAGGAATTGTTATTATGGGAACATGAATTGATAAGCCATTTTAGGGATGGGGTAAAACTTCGAATAGGATGATTTCTACAATATATATTCAAGCTAATTGAAATTTCATTATTTTCCATTTTCTGCGGCTTTTTCGCTTCAGAAATGCAGTAATACACTAATGTCCTTTGGATCGTTTTCTCCTTTTTTTGGATATCCTTTGGGGAGGAAGGAACAGGACTGATAACATTTTGGATGGAAGATGCTTAAAATGCATCTCTAAAGCTCTATTCTCATAGCCTTTCAAATTATGGGGAAAAGAGGTTTGGATATACACTGGCCGCAGAAAATGTTGCAGTTTGCTGTCATGAAATATGTTTTGACATATGAAATACTGAATCAGTTAAGTAAATGTTTATGATATCTGTCAAAGATTCTGGCATTTGAAAAGCTTACAGTTATTCTAACCTTCTGTAGGGAAAAAAAGACTTTCATTGGGGAGTACAGGTTCTACACTGTAATATTTTTATCATGCAAGGGTAATCCATGGCATTTTCCTGTTTTGTTTCAGTTCCCTGTCCACCCCCCCTGCCCATGATTCTGTCACTTCTATGAGTTATTTGTTAAAGGGGTCATAGCTAGCTTGGGAGGGAGGCTTGCTTTGCCTGCCTCTGCCCCCATTTTGTATTTTAGAATGTCATCTTCCCCATCTCTGGTAGGAGTTGCTAGTCAGTAAACATCAGCTTAGAAAAGGCTGTTCATCTGTGATTAACAGCTTTCTTGTTTAGGTCATTTTCTTCTCCTTGTTTAATCTAGCCTTTTCGTCCCCTGAAATGAGTCTTTAGTAATGAATACAGTATTGCTGCAAGGTGGTGCAATAGCACTACATCTTGGGTTGCCTGAATTGATAGACAAAATTTATATTTTTTTAATTTATTTTTTGACCATAATGTTTTAACTAAAAACTTAAAAAAAAGAAAATCAAAGGTAGATAAAGGCTGCCTTTGCTTTTAAGGGAAGGAGAATAAGGATTTCTTCTTTAGTCTGTTAAAGTTTTAAACTTAAAAAAAAAAAACAAACAAACCAACAAACCCCAGAGCAGTCTATATGCGTAATTTGTTGGCTCTGCCATTGAGATATATGTATGAAAGTGTGAATTCTGTTTTCTTTTTTTTCCTCTACTGACTCCCCTCCCCCTCCTCTGCCCCAGCTCTCCCTGAATCAGGATCACTAACTTTATTCAAAAAGGCACAATAACCTGTTGTATGGTACAGTGTTCTGATTCTGTCTGTGGGGAGGAAAAAGAAAATCATTTTTATGGATTTTAGACAGATACTTTTGGAAGAAAACCTCTGGCATTGTCTTCACTTTAAAAATTCTTTCCCTGTACAAGCTAGAGGGCCTATGCATTCTACAGAATCTTTGAAAGATTATAGTATATTAAATATTTTCTTTGCCATTTAACACCACTATTGAATACATTAAACATGTTTATACTATGCCACATGCATTAATTTAGCAGTCATTGCATTGAAACTTAAATATTTGAAGCTATAATATTCTGGTCTTATTGCTGAATTGAAAAACATGCAAGAACACATGCCAAATTTCTTGCCCATGCCTTTATAAATTTCAGTTTGTTCACTCATGCATGTTGATGCTTTTTTTTTTTTTTTTTTTAAAACTTTGGTTCAGCTATCCAGTTTTTGAATTGCCTGCCTTGCTGCGTTCTTCATCTGCAAACTTAATCAGGTCAAGTCAACTTTGTCATTTGCATACCACCCCCCCCCCCCATAAAGCTTCCACAAAAGGAATGCTGAAAAGTGGTTGAGGCCTGGGATGTGAGAACCATATAGCACTTTTTTTCTAAATAAAAAATGGTGGTGATATTTCTAGTAAGCTCAAAATACTTTAAATCAGTAGTAAGTAGGCACAAATACTTATTTTTACAGGTTTAATTAATCAGAACCTCACAGTATTTTTTCACACTGAGGTAACTGGCCAGCCAGGAGAAGGAACCCAGAAAAACGACTTTGAAAACATTAAAGATACTTACAATTTCTTATAATAAAATTAATATAAAAGAAACACAGTAACATTTAGTTATGAGACAATTTAGAAGTACTCAGAGTAACCACAAAAATTGTGTTGACTTCTGCTTCATGAAAAGTAGAGGAACAAAGTGTCCTTGACAAATAAAAGGAAAATGATTGAGGATATTTTGGGGACCTCTGGAAGTAGATACACTAGGAATAAAAGCTAACTGACTGTGATCCTTATAGAGTAGAAATATGGCTATTTATTCAGCACAATAGTTTAAGGGTTCAAAAGGTCTGCTTTTTATGCAATTGAATTGTGGAAAAATGTTTTTGAAAATGAAACTTTGAAATAAAAGTCCTTTTTTGAGCATCTGAAATGATTGATGTTATTGATAACATTGTCTCTTTTATCAATTAGAAGAGTAAAACAACACCTTGTATTTGGAAATAGAAGAATAAATTTGCACAATTTCCTCTGTGGGTTTTTTTTTGTTTGTTTGTAAGCCAGTGTTATAAACAACTGAAAGTGATTTGTATTCTTTGATCTATTTGAAGGATATAGCACTTATCCTGCTCTTGACATAGTGAATGCCATCTTTTTATCAAAATGTTTTTCTGTCAGAAGGATCAGAAATGCAACTATTAATTAAACTCTTTGTTCTCAGATGAGCTGACTTTGCATTTTGTTAAAGCCAATTTCTTTCCGTGAATATTGACCGCTGGGCTAAGTGAAATCTGTGCAGTTTTTGTTTTGATGCATTTCATCTATGTGAATACTGGAATTATAACTTTAAAACAGCATACCAGCAATATATGGGCTATGATTCTGATGAGAAGTATTTCTCTGCTACAGAACTTTCAAATTCTGAGCTAAGCTATGGATAAATTAATGATTGCCAATTTAATTTCTTAAAATCTTTTTATGACTGCAAAGAACAAAAATTACAAGCATTCTTTATAAATAAAAAATGGGCTAGATGGTAGTTCATAATATGAGAAATATGGCATTGTTGTATCTGGAAAGTGTTCTAAATTCTACACAGATAATGAAAAATTCTTAAAGAATTTTGTATGAATACCTGTTGGGTTAAAGAATTTTTATAGTGATGATGGAGTGCCATGAAGTTAATACTTGCAATCCAGATTGCTGTAGTTTACACTTTTCTCTGTTTCAGACCTGGTGTGCACTATTTGTACTAAGCACGCCACAGAGTGAATTATCCAAAGTCCATTGATTTTAATGTGTTTTGGTTTGTAAACAAAATTATAGTAATTTCTTGCACATTTTTGAAAAATAATTGTATAAGGATTTATGTATCTGCTTCTGGATACAGTGTGTAAATAAAAATTTCATTCACAAAAAGATTTGTGGAGTGTTGGTACCTTAACGACGTTCTAAAACAACCCTGAAAGACATTGTAAAATTTGGGCATCTGACTTAAATGTTTAAATTTTAATGGTTACAATTTAAACTGTTCTATATTTTTTTTAACCCATGCTAGTTGACTTTTCAAAACATTTCTGTATATTGTTTTTATTAATTCCTACTTTTCAATGCAAGAAAAAAACATTGCCAGAACGAAACTAGAATATGATTTTTAAAAGGTCTGCATACATTACAGTAAGCTAACTTTTTGATATTTTTTGTTGTTTTCCTTAAACTACAAAATTTGTGACGGAAGTCTCCATTTTACCTGGATGTACGTCAAAGGTAATATACCATCTCTTGGCTTCCGAGCAAGCAAATAGTTCTTACTTGGTTCCAAAATGAAAAAATTATATATGGTGTTGATCTTCATGTATTCACTTGATGCTGTCTTAGATTCCCTTTAAAAAGGGAGTGGCATTTTAAACTCTGGGAAATCACACAGATAAACCAGAAGATGAAGGATAAACAATTTCTATGTTACAAAAGATCTGCACAATTGTTCACATGCTTTCCTGTAGTTGGGACATACAGAGTTGCTACTCAAATTCAAGAAAACAGCACCAGCTTCTTAGGTCTTGGTTATAACTGGTTTTGTTTTTTTTAAAACAAAAACCCCAGCCTTGGTAGCAAACAATTATTGTTCATATTGTCTGCAGCTGATAGGTACTTTTCTACATATCCTGTAACTTAAGTCCTTAAACAGTAACCAGAAATAATTCGTAGTTTTTGCCATTTAAGAGAAAACTGCCTTCTATTTCCTACTGCGGGGGCTAGTACTGCGCGCTCAGTATGTTGTGTGGTTGTTCCCCCAGTGTGTGTGGGGTTTGTTACTAAGTCTGCATGATGCTCTTCTCTACGTTTGTTCTATTCACTCCAGAAAATTTGGCAAAAAATAAACTTACCCTCAAATGTTTCCTTGGTAAGGGGTGAAAGGTGGTTAAGAGTTAATTTTACAGCTGCCTGTAAAATTAGCATGATCCAGGCAGGACTGAAATGTTTATAGTCAAGATGCCTGTAATCCTAATTATTTCTACCTCGCATTCAATCAGATTTGTAGCTGTGAGAGCAGAAGAGAAATGGTAAGACAGTGCCAGATGCAGAAAGCTTGCTGTATGTCTGATAACGTAACCCTTGTACCAAGGCAGGGCTTGGCGGCGGGGGTGGTACTGAATTAAGTCATCCTCTGCAATTAAGGCCTCCAAGATGACAAAGCTGTAAGATACAGTAGAAATCCTTAATATTTAGGAAACAATGTTTGATCACTTCCCTCTAGCACATGCAATTTGCTTGCGGTCTCTGCTTTTCTTTTTTCTGCCTTTTCAAAGGCTAAGGCTCAGCCGAGCATTTTAGCATCCCTTGCGACATTAGTATGCGCATCTTTGACTTTTCTGGTAAGGTAATACCTACGCTTTCCTGTCAAAGCCGTGTAAAGTAGGAATAGGATATTGTAGGGAGCGGAGACAATGGTTATTTGTTTTTGTGGAATGACTCAGAAATAGGAGGTGTTCTGCCTCCTGAGAGCCTGCAGTTCTCTCAGGCTAACTTGCCGCATGCTGTCAGTGAACTACTGAATCTCTTTAAGTGTGAACTTTGAAGACAGAACTGCTGAGGGTTGGGGTAGGCACGGCACTAGCCCTCATGCAACAGACTTAAAAAAGAAAGGAATGGTTCCTTGCATAGAATGAGGAAGGAAAGCTAAATGAGGCGTGTTTCACTTTCAGTGGGTGAGAATGAGTAAGTTTGGATGCACACGGAGGAAGGATGCGTGACAGAGTCTGGACCACTCCTGACACTGACAGCTCAAGTGCTGTTTGGGCAATTAAGTCTTGAGGGAAGAGTCAACATACAATGAAAGGAAGAGGAGCTGTAGCAAAGGTAACGCAAGTTTTGTAAAACTTAAGAGCAACTGTGTCTGATATTAAATGTGTTGTGTCTTAATCTGTTCTTCAAAATTTCTGTCGAATTTTCTTGAATTTAATCCACAGAACTCTTTAGCTGCAGTTTGTCTTCATGGCTGTGTAATGGGGTGTTGCGTTCTTCGTGGCTGAGCCTGCTGCGGTAAGAAGGGCAGTTTTTCAAAAGCAACCCCTGTT